TTTTTTTTTTTTTTTGGAGGGGGGTCCGGACAATTTGTACCCCTTGACACCGGTCCGCACTGTCCGGGTCCGGTGATGTCCGGGTGTCTGGTGATGTCTGGATCACCAGACAGTTCGGACCGGTCCAGACACTAGTCCGGAAGACAGTCCGGAAGTGTCCGGTGTCTGGGTCCGCGGTTACCACGGTCCCTATTTGCTTTTTTTGTTTTGCTTGCATCTCCTTCGACGACAACAAACGAAGGAATCTGAAAACTTACATGGATGTAGGATATGCGTACGGCTGCCACCACCAAGCCCAACCCTGCAAGGGTTCGGTAGTTCAGGGGTGGCCAAAATTGAGAGTCTTGAAAAAGAGGTTTGGAGGTACACTAAGAAAAAAAGAAAAAAAAAAAGAAGAAGAGGGTTGGAGGTACACCGTCAGCCCGTTGAAACGGAATAGGGCCATGGTTATGGTACATGTTTTTCTTTTACTTGTTTCTTTATTATTATTATTTCCATGCAGCCCGAGTGGACTCAACCCTCTGTCGCAATACGGTTTGCGCCTCCGCAGACCACCGTCTCCCCTCCTACCTCTCCGCGACTACCAACGCGTCGAGCCATTCGCTCAGCCCATTGCAGCGAGCAGCTTGCGACTTGCGAGGACGTTGTGTCCTCCCTTATGGACTTGAGCATGCTCCAGGCTCATCAGGAGCGACTCACCCTCCATGTCGCTGCACTTCGTCGCCTTCTCGCCATCCTCTCTGACCCTGATCACACCCTCCCGATCATTCCAGTACGACTCGGGACCTCCACGAGGGTGTACTTAGCACTGTGGGATTCCAGTTCTCATGGCGACTTCATTCACCGACGTGTGGTGAAGGAAGCATGCCAACCCACGACAGGGTCTCCAACTCCCATCTCCGTCACCCTAGGAGATGACAAGACTCGACGCTTTTCCGATCAAACGGTCACCGACCTCCCTTACTTCCTCACTCTGGGCCGACTGATCGTTCCCGGCGTCTCGTCTCCACTGCTCCTCTACAGATTTCGATGTGATGGAGATGGGGTACGACCTCATTCTCGGTACTCCGTGGTCTCGTAGGTTCCGAAGCACCGAGGCCGATTGGGCGACCAACACTCTCGTTCTCAGAACGAAGTGTGGACAGACATATAGCGTACCTTTCATAGGTACCACCGCGACACCACGTCCCAATCCTCCTCCCCGGAGACTTCCGTGCCTACACCATCTCTTACTATCACCGTCACCTCGCCTCGGCAGTTCGCCCACTTCATCCAATAGGACGACGTCACCTTCTTTACAGTGAACGTTACCGATCTCTTGCACTATGATTCACCCTGTTCAGACGTCGATCTCATCTCTCTGGAGCCAGATCCTCCTTCTATCTCCATGACTTTCATCTCTACTTCCCTCCCTCTGTCGTTCGTCGAGTCCACCTCGTCGTTGTCTGTCGACGCTGACGCTGAGGAACTCGCACGCTATACGGCCGACCTGGAGCCCGCAGTTCGTAACCTCACTCGAGAGTACCACGACGTTTTCCCATCATTGTACGCCGGCATCCCACCGATGCGCAACGTCGAGCACTCCATCCAGCTTGTGTCTGACTATCGTGTTCACCACCAGGCACCCCACAGACTCTCAATCCCCGAGGCCACTCAACTCAAGCGTCAGTTTGAAGAGCTCATGAGACTGGGTTTCATTAAACCTTGCAACTCCTCGTGAGGTGCACCCGTCCTCTTTGCTCGCAAAGCGGATGGAACTCTCCGTCTCTACATCGATTATCACTACATGGTTAAGAACAGTTACCCCATGCCTCGTTCCGGCGAGTTGTTTGACAGCCTAGCAGGCAACCGCTTATTTACGAAGATTGATCTTCGTAGCGGTTACAATCAGATCCACGTCGCTGCAAAGGACCAACCGAAGACAGCGTTCCGATCGCGCTTCGGCCACTATGAGTTTACGGTGACGCTATTTGGCCTCACCAACGCACTCGCTACCTTCCAGACGGTGATGAACGACATCTTCAGGAACATTCTGGAGCAGTACGTTCTCGTCTACCTCGACGATATCCTGATCTACAATCATACCCTTGAGGAACATCTCAGACACCTCAACGACATCCTTGACCGCTTGCGCAGACATGGCTTTTACGCCAAGTTGAACAAGTGTCGTTTTGCCCAGCACAAAGTGGATTTCTTAGGACACTACGTGTTTGACCAGGGTCTCTACATTAAACAAAGCGAAGATCACTGCTATTGCAGAGTGGCTCGTCCCCACATCCGCCAAGCAGCTTCGCAGTTTTCTAGGCCTCGCTAGTTACTATAGTAATTTAATCCAGGGATACGCTAGGTATTCCTGCATCCTTACCTTTACCCTCCTTCGGAAGAACCAGCTATGGGCTTGGACACCCCTCCACGAGGGTGCCTTTCGCGCCCTCAAGAAGGTGGTGACATGTGCACCGGTTTTCCACCTACCCGATTTTGATCACCCTTTTATCCTTACCACTGATGCGCCAGACTTTGTTGTAGGAGCAGTGCTTTCTCAAATTTTTCCCTCCTCTCCTGATTCCTCTCATCCTCACATCCCTCACTTCCCACCCTCTACCACTACCACTGCTTCCCGCCTGATGCCTACTCTTCCAGCTACTGACGAACCTTTTATTGACTATTCTTCTAACATCCCCGAGGACGGCACTTTCGAGTCTCACTCAGGTGATTGTCCAATAGCCTTCTACTCTCGTCACCTCCTGCCTACCGAGATAAACTACACTGCTGGTGAACGTGAGGTTCTCGCAGTAGTTTACGCCACTCGGCACTGGCGTCACTACCTGCAGGGGGCACCATTCACGGTGCGCACGGACAACTCTGTTGTCCAGGCTTTTCTGACAAAGTTGAAGCTCACTCCTCGACAGGCTCGCTCGTGGCACGACCTTTCCGAGTTTGGTTTCACCACTGAGCACATCAAGGGTGAGACCAATCGGGTCGCAAATGCCTTATAACGGCGCCCCAACCATAATTTGAAGCAGATCCAACTCGCTGCCATCTCGGTCACGACCGTCCACCACTCCGTAACCGACGAGTTTCGCTCTCAGTACCGCCAGTGCCCCGACTATCACGACAACCATGCGACCCTTCACTCGACAGCTACGTGTACGGGCAGTCACAGAGTTTCATAACCAGGCAGCCGCCGGTTATGTGGGCTTCCACAAGATGTTGGCTCGTGTGAGTCGCCTGTATGTTTGGCCGAAGCGCAAGGATATTGTGAAGGACTACGTCGCAGGGTGTCTCACCTATCAAGAGGTAAACACTATGAACCAGCTGCCTTATGGTTTGATCCAGCCTCTTCCTATCCCTGAGGGTCGTTGGCAGTCCATCTCGATGGACTTTATCGATCCTCTTCGTTCTTTGACCCCCCGCGGTCATGATGCTATCCTGGTCGTCGTCGACCGCTTCACGAAGCGCACACGCTTTGTTCCGTGCCACTATGCAATCAATGCACGTGAGATCGCCGACATCGTGTTTGACTGAGTCGTGCGTGACCACGACTTACCCCTGAGCATCATATCTGACTGTGACTCGTGCTTTAACAGGCGATTCTGACGACGACTCCACGAGGTGTACGACACCTAGCTCGGAGTCCGCTTCTCCTCGTCTTACCATCCCTAGAATGATGGTCGGACCGAGGTCACGAACAGGACTCTCGGAGATATTCTCATAAAGATTGTTTGTGACGACCAGCAGTGAGATCTTCATCTTTCCCACACGGAGAGAGCCTACAACCACTCCGTCTCGCCATCCACGGGGATGTCGCCTTACTATTACGACCTCGGTCATCACCCTCATGTTCCCGCTGACTTCCGTCGACCGTCACAGATGCATCCCAGCACGAGTTGTCTCGTGCTCGATGATTGGGTCGCACACATCACGTCGATCATGAAGACCATGCATGAGCACATAGCCGCTTCCCAAACTCGCACGGTCGCACGTGTGAACCAATCGAGGATGGATCATCCATTCAAAGTCGGTAATGATGTGTTTGTCGACGCCCACCACCTGTGTATCTTTTGAACGGAGAACGGGCAAAATTCAACACCCGAACTTCCGTTTAACGGGCCCCTGGAACCCCATTGAATCGCGTTTAACGCAAAAACAGGGGCGTCGCGTCCAATTCCGAAAAACGGAATTCGCGCGTTGGGCCTCGGACACGTGTACCTACGTGCCCGAACACTCAAACAGGAAAATAATAATAATAATTATAACCCCCCCCAAACATCCCTTAATCCCCCCCC